CGCACCTCCTCTATCCCCTACGCCATGGAAAATATACGCCGACTTCGGGGGACTAAACCCCAAATACGCGGATTGCGGCCGCATGTTGGACACAAGGAGAGGCTGGGAGTTCAGAGGGATGTGTAGGAGGATTTGTTGCACGGAGAAGAGAGGCGATGAGCTTCAGCGCTTCAGCACGAGCGAGTCAGAGTCGACCGGATGGTCAAGTTGCTGGAGAGTGTCGTCTTTCCAGCTAAGGGGTTTCATTGCAAGGTTCGTGGCGAAGTTGAAGTGATGGCCACCAGTGGCTGACGGCGGGAAAAATCTCATAGAGCCGAGATAGTATGCCAAGAGCTCATAGCATGATGCTCTCTACGAGCGAGCTCAAGTAGCTGTCAAGCGGACAGACGTGGCTGAACGCCCTACACTCGAGGTCCTGCATTTTCATCTCCTCGCGATCCCTCACACCGATTCGTATGTCTTCTCTCCTGAGTCTACGAACCAACACTAACAGACGCAGGCTCTTACAGACGTAATCAAGGATGTGTCAGGCTTGCGCTGACGCTGTGCAGCCAGAGGTTGGTTGTGCTATAGATTATAGCGGAGCTTGAACTCTACTGTATGTCTACAAGCCACCTTGATTCTCCTTTGCCTTAACTGATACCTCAACTTAGAAGTAGCTCGTTTGGACGAATGCGACGTTCTCACAGGTATATTCGCGTGCCAGATGGCAAGATTCTGAACGCAGTGCCTCTCAAGAATCCAGCACGTTTGCTCCCGAACGCCTCTACTGGATTCACCCGTATCGAAAGATATTGTCATCAAGCCTGAAGTCATAGCATTTTTGGTACGGACAGGATCACCGTACGCATGAGTAGAGTGTTAGACGCAACTGATGTTACGACTCGACAAGAGGGATTCGCTGGCGCAGGTATCCCTGGGACGTTGCTGTTGTATGTATGTAGAAGCAAGATCGAATATATGGAGTGTTTAGCTATATTTAAGCTCATTGCCTCTCGCGTATTGCGAATGAGAGCGTCAGACTGCCCAACACCGTCGGACGCCTAGACGCCCAGCAATATCACTGCCGATATGCCACGCGAGCGGGCCGATTCCCGATTCCCGCGGCGCGTGCTGCTAGATGATCAGACGCGTCTTGCCACTGCACACCCATGTACGACACTGCGAGGTCTTCGAATGTCATGATGCGTCGTGCTAGTTCAACAAATATCGCATCTTAGGTCACCGCCTGAATTCCTTCTGAAACTCTGCTTCTTTCCTTTACATACGGCTTTAAAGGGCTGTGACGACATCGGGGTTCAATGATCCCATCTTGCTGCCGGCCTTCTCGGATTGAATACTGTCCCAAGCCGATTGGGGTTACTTGAAGTGATCATACCGCACTGATCAGTTGGAGAGAGATACCCATGGAATTGAGACGGTTGTGCCCGCGCGTCTCGGTTCACTCGGCGTCAACGTCGCCCGCCGTGTTCGGATGTTTAGCAGCTTCTAGGTTGCGCAGCGCACAGATGTCGGAACAATCCTGTGGCAGTCGCTGCCCGTGAGGGGCATTGGTACCGGAATCCAAGCAGTGAGGATTCCCACACGTTGTATTCGTGCTATTGGGTATAGCTCACAGCTATCTAGATATCATGAACATGAACAAACGATCATCGGGCGGCCTGATGTGGTCTGGCGTTGAGGCAGCCATTCGCAGTCGCAAGTGCCGATGGCGTTCCGACGCAGGAACGTATGCTTGCCTAGGCGCGCCGAGTCGCGTTATTCTAGTGCGGCTATGAGTTAATCAATGGCTCTTCCTCGCGCCTGAGGTGCTGTTGCGCGACACTCCCGATGATCTCAGAAAGTGTGTTGTCGGGCTCCATCGGTACGTACCATTCCAGCTAGCTCATCAGCTTGCCAAAGTAACTGATTTCCCGGCAGAGAACTCAACGCGCATAAGTAGCGCCCTTAGTTTTGGTGTTCCTGTAGCGCCGAACATCGAACAGCGTTGACAACCTGTCTGCGAGATATATTTTACCTGCCATGGCCGAGGTCAGTCGCCGTACTTTATCCCAAACGGGATGAGTCTCATACAGCACTAGATGGACAAGCCTTCCGCGAGCGATGTCGTTGTCATTGGGGGAGGACCAGCTGGCTCGTATGCGGCTACGCTGCTGGCTAGAGGTGCGTTCACGCACATATCTTGCGAAGACTTGCACTTACGACGGTGCTTCTATCGTAGAGGGTTTCAGTGTAACACTTCTCGAACGCGACCAGTTTCCAAGGTACGCGTGGCCTTGATAACACGGAGCTCGTAGTCCGGGGCGTTGTATTGACGCGCCTTCTGGAGGTATCACATTGGAGAGAGCCTTCTCCCGTCCATTCCCCGGTACCTGTCCATCATCGAAGCAGAGAGCATTATCAAGGCGTTAGGCTTCAAGGTCAAGGTATGCTCGTTCGATCATTGTATGGAATGTGGAGCGGTGTTTAACTGACTGCAACATCGATAGCCAGGCGCGGCGTGGAAGCTGAACCAGTACAGCCGCGAAGGATGTAAGATCTGTTCACTCTGTCTCAGTAACTCGATTCTGATATTCCTTGGATAGACACCGACTTTTCCACACTAGATCCTTCGGACGTTACTTGGAACGCCGTTAGTCTCCGCATCATCCCGACGTCGAGAGCGTCGCTGAGCATTACCGCAGGTCCGCTCCGAATTCGATCACGCGCTTCTGCAGTACGCTGCCGAATGCGGAGTGCGCGTCTTTGAAAACACGAAGGTCACTGCGCTTTGCTTCGATGACGCTGAACAGCCCGAGCGCCCTACAGCATGCAATTGGAAGACTAAGGACGGCTCCGAAGGTCTTGTACGGTTCAAATGGGTCGTCGACGCTTCCGGACGAGCGGGGATCCTCTCCACACAGTATCTGCATAACCGCAAGTTCAACACCAGTCTCAAGAACGTAGCCTGCTGGGGATACTGGAAGGACGGCGCAGCATATGCGCCTGGGACTGAGAGAGAGGGTGCTCCCTGGTTTGAAGCTTTGACGGGTGAGAGATCAGCATACGCCCTTGATTGCACCATGTCGCTGACGGTATCGTCCCAGATGAGTCTGGATGGGCTTGGTACATCCCTCTTCACGACGGCACTACTTCCGTTGGCATCGTCATGAATGAGGGAGCGAGCAAGCGAAAGAAAGACGACTTCCGTACCCAGAATGGCGGCAGCACGCTTCTACAGTTCTATCTCAGCCAGTTACCGCTTGTCCCAGGTCTCCGCACGTTGCTGGAGCGCGCGACGCTTGTTTCCTCCATCAAATCAGCGAGCGACTACAGCTATTCAGCTTCCTCCAGCGGAGGTCCTGGATATCGCTTGGTTGGCGACGCTGCGGGTACGTCTTTGGCCCATACATATACTTTCGATGACGACTCACGGTATTACTCTCACAGCCTTCATAGATCCTCTGTTCTCGTCAGGCGTACATCTTGCATTCACGAGTGCTCTCTCGGCTGCGTGCTCCATAGCCGCGTCCATCAGAGGACATTGCTCAGAGGAGATGGCCGTCGCATTCCATAATCAAAAGAGCGGGACGGCGTACACAAGGTAAAGCCCCATCATACACAATGCCTGGCGTGGGATTCTGATACCTACTTGTGTAGATTCTTAGTAGTTGTCATGGGCGCGTACCTGCAGATTCGGTCGCAGAGTGTACCGGTTCTACAGGATGTCGACGAAGACAACTTCGATCGCGCATTCGACCTCCTTCGTCCCGGTGCGTCGCGCTTCTCTTCTTCCTCGAAGTTGCTGCTGATAAACACCACCTTCTCTATGCAGTTCTGCGAGGCGAAACAGACATCAGTGGAGGTTCACTGACTGAAGACGAGTTGGTACAGGCCATGCGCTTCTCTGCTGCCGTGGTGATGGCTCCCACAACACCCTCCATGCACGCCAACGTCACGAAACGCCTTCCGGACTCGTTGACCGACATGAGCAGCCCCATACTGCCGCCCGAGAACATCAAGCGTATCGTCGGCCAGGAAGACGACGAAGCCTTTCACGTCTTACGGGAGATCAATGCGCGAAAGCCTATTCACCAGATGTATGACGTTGGGAATCACTTCGTACAGGAGGAGTTCTGCGGAATGGTGCCCTGCATTACGCGAGGCGAGCTTGGGCTCGCCACTCGCGTTTAGTAGTCTCAGCCCTTGGTGTACGGCCTTTAGGTCCTAGGACGTAGTGGTGATTGAACACCCGTGTACTGCATCGCTTTCCATAGTCTACTACACATGCCGTAGATAGAATATACTTCAGCATTGAAACATACACGCAGATGTGGTGTCACTATCCGATGCCAGGCTTCAACACCAATGTTTCGAGTGGTGTATCGCAGCTGATTCGGCGTCCCAGCTGATCCTTCTGTGACATTAAGCGGACACAGTCAAGCTCTACAAGAGTAGATGACTAAAGGCTAACTAAAGGCGGTAGAGCTCTTTGAAGTTACCGGTTCCGCAGCGTGCACGTGCTGTTTGATCAGCGTGCGGAGCAAGTTGTCCGCTGTTGTCCGCCGACCGTCGTCCGAAGCCTAGGCGCCTATCCTTCGCACCACCAACGCCAGTCTCAACGTATGTTGATGTACCGCAACGTATCTTCTGAGAACCGAGGTACTCAGGCGGACGCGCTCTATCGAGAGAACCATTGAGCCAGTAACTGGCGCTTGCCGCCTGGTTATTCTTTACCGGGTGCCGCTCAACCTGCGTTCTCTTTGAATGAAACTACTCCGTGCATGGCCTTCACGAATGGGCCTTGCCGTTCGGGGCTCATGTTCTCACTGCGATCACAACTTCGACAATCCTTCGAAGACACCGTGGCCGTGTACCTAGCCTCATCGAGATCAGTTATCGTAAAGCCGGTGAAACGCGAGTTATTGACGCCGACGGACGTCTCGGGCGTGCCGACCTGCATCTACTCACCGGACCCATCCATTATAGCTATCAATGATCTACTACTGTTTCTTCCGCGGATTGGGAGCCTACCTACCACCAGGGCATTGTACGGGCGAAGAACATGGCTTGAGGAAGATACGTCCAATGCCATCGACATTCCCTCGTCAGGAGTCAGTGCAGTGCGGGAACATGCACACTTTCATCCGCGTCTCGTGATCTCATGTGAGACAATGCCAGCGCTGGAAGAAGACTGGAACCAGTACTCACCAAAGACATTCATGGTAAGTTGGGGCATACAGGTCTTTCACGCGATCCAGTGGGCTTACGCCTTTCAGGACACCAGTTCTCTTCGTACCGCAACTATACCAAGTGAAGAAGCAAGGGATGAGCATTCGTCGCCTGTGCATCTTGTGCCCGACGATGTCCTCAACGGCATCTTCATGCTCTTATGTCGAAGCCGCGACAAACTCGCTGCAAGCTGGCACTGGTCATTGGTAACACACGTTACCAGACGTTGGAGGAGTGTGGCTCTAAGCAATCCACTCCTCTGGGCCTTCATACCATTCGACTATGGTGGACATGGTTGGGTAGAGGAATGTTGCCGACGTGCTGCACATGTGCCGCTCGCTCTCACACAGCCCTTGCAAACGCCGTCCCACAGCGCGAGGATGGCGGCTTTCCGTGATTGCATCACTTCTACTTCCCATGTCAGGTCTATCCGCATCGAACGCGCGCACCTAATCATCATGGCGCTCAATCGCTTTCTTGCAAAACCTGCTCGGGTCCTCGAGTGCTTGCACATCTCCGCGAATGACGGCGCGCTTCCACGATACACCATGTTTCTACCGAGGAGACTATTTGCCTCGACGGCTCCTTGCCTGCGTATCATCAGCCTTCGAGGATGCACGATCCAGTGGACCACGCTGGAGGCCTTTCCGTCCCTCACCAAGCTCAGTCTACGCAACGACGAGCCCGGCATAGCTTCATCACACATACTCATACGACCGCACGCTTCAGAAGATGCAGCGCAGGCAAAGTGGGAAGACATGTTCGCTACGCTCAATACGCTAAAGCGCCTGCGCGAACTTACCATCGAGTATTACTGGCCCGACCATGTCTTCCCTGCCTCAGTAACATTCGCTACGCTCCCACTGTTAGAGCAGATCACCTTGAAAGGGCATCCGGAACAGTGCGCTTACGCTCTAGCCCACATCAACGCTCCAGCATGTGCTTGAGCATCAGATATATATATATACGCCGGGTTAGGTTCAGTGGTCGGAATAGCAGGTAGTCCATACATGCACGATGATACAATAGTATGACATATAAATGACAGTACAGAGTGACGGCCGAATGCTACACATGCACCTATCCTTACACCTTGACACTGTCGCGGTCTGTGTCCGCTGGGTTCGTCGAGAGTTCAGAGAACTGGACGACGTGCTCGTTACCGCTCTCTTCGCCGACGGAGACCTAGTAAACCGGTCTTGTTGGTGGGAAAGCAATGAACGAAGTGAAAGAGGCTTACGGCTGACTTCCATCCAACTGCTTGGCCGACTCGGATTGGGCCCTTAGCTTGTCCCGATCTCTTGAGGCCGTCTTCGAGCTCGTCCGAGTGACGCTCGCGTTCGCGGAAAACTCGAACCTCCAGGCCGCCATCCGTGTCAGTTGTCATTTGTTGCCGGCGCCCTGCCCATGGCAAAGTAGATCGCGCAGACCCAGATTGCGAGTCACTACGAGAATCGGTAGAGTTCCCTCTGTAGAACGCGCGTCCGTTGAGGGTCGAATACAAGCTATTCGAGTACCTAGAATAGCGCCCATACTCATCAGACCGTTCAGGACATGATTGCAATCGGCGATACTCACAACTTCCCCAGGATGTATCCACTACGTTCAGCCCGTCAGTCAGGATGGAATGAGATGCACGAACGCATACGCGAGACTCACGGGCATAGATAGAAGTTGTCTTGTGGGTAACCCTTCCACAGGGCGAGAGCGACCCCAGCTGTCACAGCGGTAATCAATCCCGTTTGGACAGAGTTCACAATCAGCCTGTCGTAGAGCGTCTGTGACTGTACCCAGACCGTGCGAGATCGGGCCTGATAAAGCTGTACTAGACGTTAGGACGAGCTACCTCGCACGACTGGGATGTACGAACCAGCCAGATCATGCAGCCAGCAATCAGAGTGTCCGCCGTGAAGGAGGCCGCCAGGTAGACCTAGCATAGGGTGAGCGGATGCAGACAGTTGATCGCGGATTACACTGTACATCGATGCTTGTACGAATGCCTCCCAGAGCCGCAATCTGCGCTTTCCCTCTGAGAACCTGAATTGAAGCTTCTACGTCAGTGGTGGTACATCACTACGACGAGAGTAGACAGCGCACGATGATGGGAGTGGGGATAGAGGCACCGCATTGCATCAACGAGAGCTATAGGAGTAGGTCAATCGACTGTGAGCCCTGAATGGCAATGAAGCTGACCATGACGATGACCAATGTCATCCCCCGGAATATGGTCGTGCGCGACAGCACCCATATGCGCCTATGGAGGATGAGCTGGAATACGACAGCGCATGAGACCAACACCAACCAGGCATAGAATAGTTGGACCAGCAAGGCAACTAGACTACAGGTCAGCACTCTGGAAGGGTTAGAGTCTGTGATTCTCGTACTAATTCCACTGAATAACGGCATGAAAGGCTCGCTCCAAGGAATGACGCTGATGAGCGTATCCTCGTCTCCCCAGATATCTACCCCAAGATACCAGAGGGCTTGGCTACCGATTGCCGTCTGGGCGACATCGAGGACGAAGATAGTGTACACTGTAAGAGTTCAGGTTCAGGGGCGATCCTACTGGATGATCCTGTACACGCACCCATCAGCCGCAACCATAGCCTATTGTCCGTCTTCTCCCTGACTTTCTCGTATCGATCTGTACGTATCGTTAGGTTCGTGATTGAGAAGCTGGATGGTCAGACAGTACGCACAAAGCTGAAATGCCAAGGTGCCGAGGAGAAGCCAATTGATGCTATGCCCGAAGTACTAGTGAAAACGGTATTGGATAAGTGAGCGTCCCGGATGACTGGATAATGCAGCGCATACGATAGGTCCGATACTGAAAGTTCGTCAGCAGAGCATGGCAGTGGCACGGCGTCACTCACATCTTGCGGGTATTATTATGTAAAATGAGAGCAGGTGCCGTGCCAGCGGGGTCTGTCGCGCGACGAATAAACATTGTTCTCAAGTGGTGGACGTCGGCGGCCTCCAGAGTCGAAGGGTTTCAGTGGTTAAGTATCGGATGCACGTTGCTGTGTGATTCTGATCTTCCGCTGGCTATCTTCGGTCGCGATTTGATGTGATGTAATGAGTGAATTTGCCGTAGGGATTGGCGCGGAACTCTGCGATGGCCGATGGCTGGGCACTACTAACTGATTGGAGCTACCGCACTTTGCAATCCGTGCACAAGCGGGAGTCAGTAGGTCGTATACATTGCATACACCGCACGACCGAGCCTTGAGCTTGTGGTTTAGTGGCGACGTATCAAAGCCGGGCACTGCTCACAGTGCGAACCCGAGGCGCCCGGCGGCCATGGCTCAGAGAAAGGGCGAGTCGCTGGCTCGGACGTGTCCCACTCCTGACTAGACTTTCACAGTTTGCCAGAGGGTTTGATCGATTGATAGCTACGTATCGTTTCAGTGTGACGAACAAACTACAGCACCCTGCGTGAGGACCGAACGGTCCGATCGTGCGCAGCATCGCCGGCATCGAGATGCGACAGATAGAGTCGACAATTGAGGCCTCTGACCGGTATTCATTATGAGCGATGGCATCCGGCACTTGAGGTGACCTTACATGTGCGATATCGCTCGACGTTACTTGCGAGAAGCACTAGGGATGATACGACGGTAACACAATACAGACAGCATCTTCTTTGTCTGATTATGAGATCAGACGAACATCATGCGCCTCCGAGACGAGATTCAAGGTCCTAGCTTGCAGGAAGTTTCGAGGAGCTAAAGTGGTGATGCACTTTGCTACGCTCTCATGTCGGGTTCGCCATCGTCTCACAGCTTGAATGGCAGGATAGCTGATTGAACCTGTGCCTCGCTTCTCTGTGAGACGAAGGGACGACATGGAAGATGAATCACGCGCACCCAATAATACACAGCCTTTCTGCTACATGCTTCTACTTCTCTCATGGCCGCCGGTGCGCATGGCTCAAATCCGCCATGGTCACGAAGTGCCGCAGAGCGGCTAACATTCAGAAGCCCGGAGATGCTGCTGTATATGGCACATGTGGGTGTGGGACGTGGCTCGGAGGGGAAGGCGCCGGGCGCGACCTGACTTTTCGCTGGTATCATCGAAAGAGGCGCGCGCCGCGTTGGTAAAAGCGGCGAATGGGCAGTACATCAGAGCGCAATCGCAGTATCGAAGGTGATGTCAGGCGCAGCTGCGGTTCAGAATACAAAGGTCGTATCCAAAGACCTCCATGGTGGTGAGCTACGACTCAAGCTGGTGCGGTTTCTGCCTTCAGGACTCGTGCGAAACCGCCACGTGTGGGTGTCGGTGAACGCGAGTTCGCGATGAACGCGTACGACGACAGTTGCGCACCCGTGCGTGTTACCAGTGCAATAAGGATAGCCCTTCATCGATCATCGGCTTTCTAGAGCTCGACCGGGCATCATGGAGATGCCAGCTCTTTTGCCGCGTGTGTACGGCTTCGGGAGAAGATGATTCACTACTGTTAGTGCGGGTGTACTCATAGTTGCATTCGCACATCTGGGGGAGCCCACGGATCTCGATGGGCACTTCTCGTTGATCATCAGCATACGTAGAGCCGCGCTTGAAGCTTGAACCCTCCACTCTCTGTGCTCGGCGTATGCAGATGACGCCGACCCCAGGGCTGTAAGATCCTTTCAGATATTTCTCAAGTCCAAATCCGAGAGCGAGGATACGATACCATGCTAGACGGTCCATACGTACTATCTCGCGAGACGTAGAGGTACACTGGGTACGGGTTATGCGCCGCTAACGTGCTCAGCGAGACTAGGGCCCATTGCCGACTCGGACTCCTTGGTCACTTGGCTTCCCCTGTATGTTTGGAGCTGGGAAGAATGAAGGATGGGACCTGCCCATTGCGATCTCATCGGTGTACTCTACGCCTTCGACAGCTCCCCGTAGTCGCAGACTGTGTATTGTCGTGCTTCTAGATGAATGTCTGGATCATTCTGATGTAACTTCACTTGAGCCGCCGCTCAGTGTCCTTTCGGGGTTCGACGTTCAATCTTCATATCCACATCTTCTGACGGTATGCTGACCGGCCCGGCTGATATCCGCAGATTCGTATACCCTTCATTCAGTATAGCGTGCTTTGCTCTCTATCGGCTGACACATAGCCCAATAGAGGCTGCTGACAAGTCGACCTCGTCGTAGACCGGTAGCTTCGCATTGAGCTGTATTTGTATCGATTGGGCTTGTCTACTGCATTCACAAGCGTATGCGGTGGGTTGTGCGTTCGACGACTACGAGACGACGAAACCGAGACTGCTAAGGACCTCTAGTCCATACTTCTCCTGATTCGTGCTGTGACTCAAGCTCGCCCACTCCTCCTGTTGAGCCAACGCCGCTTTCGCAGTACCCTGCGCAAGACCCCAGGCATCCGTGCCAAGTTGGACACGAGTGGGGGGATTGTCGAGGCCTGCGATGGTGATCATGGCCTGTGCCGCACGCTGCAGGTCGCCGATCTGAGGGAACTGATCAAACTGGTTCAAGAACTGGCGGC